CCCTATCAGGAAACGGACCCTCTCTTCTCTAAGAGCAGATGTAGCAGAAAGCTGCAGTTAATCTTCAGTTTCCTCTGAGCCTGGATGGTTCTCCTCTTGCCTTCAAAAAAAGATTATCCATTCGAATTCTAATGTTCTTCTGTAGATGTAAGCAGTACATTTGAGGAATGAATGATATGCACACATGCTAAGACCTTGCTATCCTGTTGTAGGATCTTTGGAGGAACCGAGAATTCTTTGTTGTGACACAAACTGTGTACTGACTTGGGTCAATTTTCCATGCTGATGGTCTAGACTGTACCACTTAAGTACAAAACTTGTCTTCCTTGAAGGAGATTTTTTTTTTGTTTTTAGTAGTTGGAGACCAAAGCTACCTTTTTGAACTTCAAATCTTGCTGTTCTTCTAAATTCTTGCCTTTTCCAGTCACTGGGAAGAGGAAGTGAACTTTCCTACTATATGTAAATAAATGGCATTTAGAAGGTGTTTTTACAAGTAGTAAATCATTCAGTCTCTAAGTAAATTATTTTTCTCTTACATTTTAGGTTGCTTCAAGTTATACTGCATTTTAAAATGCCTCCTTTCAGATAAGGCATGCAGCCTGCCAGTTCAGGCTTCCCCCACATAAACAGGTGCATCAGGTTAGCATTGGTAACATGTGCAACAGGTATTGTAGTTGGGCAGCAGGGAATTGATTTTAAAAAGTTGAAAAGAAAATCTTGGGATACATTTGGGACCCCATAATGTGAAAACTGGAGAACCTGATAGCTTAAATGTACTTTTCAGCCTTACTACTTTGAACTGATACAAGTTGACTTTGGTGTAGTCTATCCTGGAACTAGCTGTTTGGTAGTCCATGAGAAAGAAGAATTCATATATGTTTCTGGGACTGTCCTTTTGCAGTAAATCTTCTGTCATAACTGCCTTTTTGGCTTGCAGAAGATGATAGGTTCCTGGACAACAAAACTTTGATACAGGTTTTTACTTAGCAAAATAATTGTTTTGGAGTTAGCATCTGTCTGGTAATAACTTCAAGGTTTGGAATTAACTTGGAGGCAAAACAATAAGCTAGAAATTAAAATCCTGCTTAACAGGCATTTGACTTGTCAAGTCTTCCTTGTCATCAGTGTGTTGGCAGGAAAATTGCATGCATAAGGAAAGTCCAATGGATGATAATCCATTTTCAGGTTCTTGGCTGGAGCACAGGAATTTACACATGCATACGTTGTACACATAATTCCTTAACTAGCAGTGTTTGACGTGGATTGACCAAAGTCTGAGAATAAAGAAATTGCAAACTACTTCCAGAGATGACAGAAAGGGTTAGAACAACAAGGAGTCATAAGCAGTTCAACAGCTGCTTCAGGTAGAAATCTTCATTACAGGTAAGAGAGCTAATTATATCTTCTCCCTTCCTCTTACTTTGGTAGGATAGTTGTCTTTTCTTAGCACACCATCTGTTGCTCTGCACTAGCTCTGCTTCAGGATCTTCTGTTCACCACTCAATCTTTAAAAGTATTTTTTTTCCGCTTTTTTTTTTTTTAAATAAACAGGGTTTTTTTATCAACTATTTACATTAATACTCATTAGTCACTGTTGCACTGAAGCTTCCTTATACTAGACGTATCAGCAGTAGAGGAAATGGAAAGTATGGAATCAGCAGGGTAGTACAAACTGTGCAAGAGCTGATGTTCAGCAGCCTAGAATAGGGACATACTGATTGTAAATGTTTAAGCATCTGGAAGTCAAAAGTAATCTTTCAGGGCGTGCTTTACAGTTTCTTCTTTCTCTCCTGTATCTATGCTAATACATGCATTTGGAGTGCAGCAGTTTCTCCTCCTGTGAGGAAGAACATACTTCTACATCAAGCGTGTTACTTTTGTGACGGGCAGTTTCTTGGGTAGCAGATATCATCCAGTACACCAGTGGACCACAGTGTAGCCTCAGTGCACCTTACAAAATAAGTGATACCAAAAATACAGCAATTACACACAATCTGAATGCAGCACAGGTTGAAATACACGAGTAAGTGGAAACTTGGTTGTTCCTCATAATTTTGTGAAAACTCAGTGTTCATTTAACTGCAGCTATCATTCCAAAGCAGGGGCATAAAATGATGTTAGTGCAGAAAGAATATTCTTATTCTTATTTAACAGTTCTTTCCTTTTAGGTGTTGACCTAACTTAAAAAGGAAGTTAAATGATGTTGGGTTTTTTTGGTTGCTTATTTTTGGTTGTGCTGTGAATGTTTACTGTATTTTTTCTTCTCTCAGTAGTCATATCATGAATATCTTGGTCTACAAGAAGACTTCTCAAACAAGTATTTCAATCAGGAAGGAATACCATAGCAAAATAGGATTTCATTCTGTCTTGTTTTTCCATTTTTACAGTTGCAAGATGATGGAAAGCTATTCTATACCCTTGATGATGGTCATACCAGATTTACTGATCTCATCCAGCTAGTGGAATTCTACCAACTTAATAAAGGAGTACTACCTTGCAAGTTAAAACACTATTGTGCACGAATTGCTCTTTAACCAAAGCATCTGTTGTTTCATCAGAGGGAAAGGAAAATACTGTAATACTTTTTCCCCTAGGGGCAATTTGTATAGTAAAAAGAGAAAAAGCATTACATTGTAAAGTTTCTATGTTTAAGCTGAAAAAAAAAAAATATTCTTTATAGATAAGGACTTTGTGATTGTCACAGAAAAATTAACATTACGTTTTTAAAAAACATTATTTCCTATGTCATTCTTTTAGTGATGTCTTGGACTTCTTTGGGTTTTGTTTTTTTTTTCACCTGAAAACAGTTAAAAAAAAATATTATGTAACTCTATAAACATATAATGGAAGGGAAGATCCTAGGTTTAAAATTAATGTTTTTTGTCTCCAGGCGTTTCTCGTAATTTCTATTCATCACACAGAAAAATAACCTATACTGTGGTGAGGATAAGAAGCTGAACTGCACATTTCATTTGTAAATAAAATGAATAAATATTTTGCACTATATTTTTGAATGCTACTTTGACAATTATATACAAAAGGTGAAAAATCATTAAAACTACTTAAAATTGATGAGCTGTATCAAGTTGTGTGGTTACTGTTTTAATATTTTACAGGATTTTTTTTCCTCTAATGACTAAGTCTACATCTTTATATGGGGCTAGAATGTCACTTGGTTATGATATGTATAAACATGCATAAACTATTATGTGGTGCATAACATGGTTTAGTGTCTACTTAAAGTCTCTAACATGGAGAGGAAGACAGAGACTTGTTAAGTACTATGGATTCTTGCAGAGTTGGGGAGGAAATCAGCTGCAATTGCCCTTAAAAAATAAAGGTAGTGTTACAGATTTACTCATTTACAGTATTTACAATACTTACAAATAAAAGTAAATCCAGTGAACTTTACTCATTACTGACAAAATAGTGAGGGTGTATTTGCAGTCAGTTCCTAGCTGATTTAATTATTTTTATTATTTTTCACAGAATAAAACTTTCATTGTAGCTGCTACTCAGCCAGTCTTTAGAGATTACCAAACATCTAACTTTCCAGCTAAAAAGAATTGTTATGGTAGACCAAGTCAAATTTTGGACTATAGCATTAGAAGTACTTTTGGTTATCTGTTTTGACGGAGAGATGATTCTGCCGCAATATTGAATAAAGGCTCAAGTGGAAATGGGGCTTGGACTAAAAGAGGCATCCTCATCCTGCTGCTTTGATGTCCAGTAGGTTTGATCTTAAGGTTTGACCTCGTTAAGAGTGTTTAGGACCTGGCCCTAGGTGGTTTTGCTTGGAGTAAAGGCTGAAGTGCAAGGTAGTGCTTGGAGGTGGGCCATCACACTGAATCCGGCCCCTCCTTTCTGTGCTTGCTTTGATTCCTTGACTGTCAGACATACCAGCTGTTCTCCTGTAGGACGTGGTGGAAGGAATGTGGCAAGGGATGCAGTAAGATGGACCTGAGGCACAGCAGCGCCAGAGTTCGTAAGCTGACAAGGTAACGTAGATGGAAGTATTAGAACAGTATGGCAACTATAGCTTGTGTTTTTGTTATTGTGTGTCTGTGGAAGGCAATCATAATAACATAATACTGTGATACTTAATTTATTGACTTGATCCACACATGACTGACCTTTTCCTCTGGCATGCAAATACAGTTTTTAAAGCTCATTAAAAAAGCAGCTCTTCATAACGTGTACGAAAGATGCAACGTGTGGTGCCTAAGCTTGTTACATTAGGAATGCCTTGTAAAACTCTTCACAGTCTAATAAATTTAACTCTTATACTTTGAGTATAATTTCAAATTGTAATTACAAAAATATAGTTCTAATTAAAAGCTCCTCAGATTTAATTTAATAATACAATTACTAATGAGGCCTAATATTATTTCAGAGATTGGTATAAAATAAGGAGAAACATTCTCTGCATCCTTGTTGTTTTGATCATCTTCTGACATGAAATGAGTTGTCTAATGTCCATTTTTACATGGACCTGTGAAAGCTTTGCCATAATTTTTGTTGGTATGTATTTGCTAGCATGCTTGGGAGAGAAGCTAACTGCTTTGTGAGTGATCACCTGACACCTTTGAACTTATGAGAAAAGAGAAGAGATTGTGTGGCTTATGTCATGTGATGGAGAGACATCAACCATCAAGAGTCTTATGCCTGTTTTTTCATTTTCACAAATGAATTTAAAAAAAAAAATCCAACATCAAAAAACCCCAAGTAAAACAAATTATCGCTTAATGAGCATGGGTTTTGGACATATGAAAGTTTTTAACTGGCAAGTATTCAAAGCATTTTTAAGGTGTTGCCTCCTGATTTTTGACAGCTCCCTTAATTAAAATCTAAACTGAAATGTTGCTGAGAATAGTGAATCTTTTTTTTAAATGTGCATACCTTCCCTGAACTCTATGGTAGCTTGTGACTGCCGTAAAAACCAAACCAGTAGAACTAATAAAATCCAGTTTGGTCTTTAAATGACATAACAGGCCTTGTTTAAATATTACTGAAAGAGGAACCATGAAGGACATAGTCCTAATGCAAGTAGTCTCTAATATGTCAGACTACTCTAAAATGTGCTAAATGGTACAGGTAGTTGATACATGACTTGCAAAATCCTTGCTAGCAACCAGTATTTTCAGAAAAATGGCAAGTATGTTTTTGATACCACCCAGGATATGTCTAACTACAAAGTGCTTTGAGGATGTAGACAATGCTGCTTAAACAGAATTTCATTGTTGTAACTGTGGCTTCTAATTTGGAATACTATACTTGGGTGTCCACCTTCTCAAAGAAAATTGTATAATCGTGAGTTGTTAACAGCTCGGGGAGAAATCAGTACTATTTTGGGCAAGACAGTCTATCTGTCACCAGCGGTTTACTTCTCGACAAAATGTGTACGATTTTTTATCTACCTCATAGAGCATTTAAGGACTGATTTTAAAAAACAAACAAACAAACAAAAACAAACAAACAAACAAAAACCAAACAAAACACCACAATTGAAATTGGTATTGTTTGCAGAACGCTTTTCTTAATATATAAAAAAAGTGATATATTTTTACCTTTAGTTTGGGGAGATCATAGTTTTGAAGCATGACATTGAAAAATCACTTCATACTTTCTTCGTACTTAAAATGTTATACTTCTGTGAGTGTATCTGTGTAGTGCAGTGCAGTGTCAAGAAGAGAGAACTAAGCTTGCCGTGCAGAGGTACCAGAAGCAGTGTAACTGTACAAGGCCAGCTTTCTGTCTGGGGTAATTAGCCCTGCAGGGGTATGCTCTGCAAGATGTGAGCTAGTTCAGAGATTGCGCTAAAGCTCAGAATTGTATTTGTTGGCATGCCCTTTGTGCCTTAGTTTCCAATCTTAAAATCTTCTTGGCTCAAAGGAGATTAAAAGTTAATTTACTGGTGTTTCATAGTGCATATAGATACATGGCCAGAATTAGGGTTGCATGGGCAGCATTAAATGATATTTTTAAACTTCTGAGTGTTTTCACTTAACAATCTTAAGTCACTTAATGAGTTTTTTGAAATGTAACAGGTCTTTTGTTCATCACTCTAAATGTTTTGAAAGAGAGCTTTAACCCATTAAATAAAAGAGGATTGCATATGTAACTAACTAGAAGTGGGATCTTTCAAGGATAATTTAATTTCTGTCAAATATTGTCTGTTACATCCTGGTTTAAGAAGTGTAGCATTTCATGCTTCTCTGGGGGTAGAATTGTTCTGTAGTGTAAGTATGTTTGGGGTGTCTCATTTTAAGACACAAATCAGCTTATTTGAAAAGAATAGCCTTTTTTGTTGTTACATTGATAGCTACTCATCTTCTTCTAAACAGAAGCCACTCAACTACCCGTTTTAGCTGTTTAAACCTATTTAATAGCTTGCAAATTAGTCTAGCATTTGCCAGCAAGAAATCTACATCACTTTAGTTACTTGAGAAAAATATAAAGCAACTTACAGCTTGTATCAGTGTTTCTCTTTGGTTAGTAAAAGAATAATTTTGGCTACTGTTCTGATATCTCAAGCTACTATTTTATAGCAATGTAATGCATTCCATTTTTAATTTCAACTTTGTAGCTGAAGCTTTCACTGAAATCATCAAAGATGGGACATACCCCATTACTTGAATATACTTGCAAGCTTTCAGAGGTTAAACACTTATGGTCTGTGCATAATCAATGTGTATGGTAGTGCAATTAATGTTAAATTTAATGAAATGCATGAATATTTAAAACTTAATGAATCTGGCTTTACAGCACGCTTTACAGCCTGGTTCACATATGCGAACAGTATTGACTGTTGGCCTCTGGATGTCAGCAGTGTATCATAAAATTCCTGTAATCGGACGCTGTTTTCCTGCTTCCTCCCAGAAATATATGTGACTTGTGGTCCCTGCACACCTCCAGAACACCCAGTGCTTTTTCCTCTTATAAATTATTCACTTACTCTGTACCAATTAGTTCTACCAGTTGCTAGGTTTGTTATCAAGTTAGGCTTCAAGACAAGAACCTGAACTCAATAGGTGATTAAAAATTTATTAGCAGAGATGATTAAATATGCAGATAGTCTGTGAAGCTTGTTCTTGAAACCATTATATTACCTTTTTAATACTAATGATTTGTATAATTAATTTTAAAAAACCCTGAAAGTCTTTTTAAAAAAAAATAGAGTGGGACATAAAAGGGAAGAGATTAAATGCAGAGATGGCAGTGAACCTGAATATTAGAACAGCTCATTCACATGTATAGGCAATAAAGTGATTTCCTTACAGGAATAGTTTGTGGTTTTTTTTCCCTCTCTGCTAAGTTGATTATTTTATTAATCTTTTAAGTAATTTGGGAAAACTCTATCCACTAGTGAGTTGTATTTTCAAAACAGAACTTTATGTGATTAACACTGATAATACAAATGATTCATCTAAACTAAGTTAAAAACTAAATCATAATGAAGATGTGGTTTCACTGACATTTAAGTGTATACTAGATCTGAAGCATGTAAGTAACCCCAGGGTTCCCATGAGAACCACTCAGGTACATTAATGCCACTAGGGAACTGCCCATCAGCATGACAAATACAAGGCAAAGTTTTTGAAAGAGAGGCAGGCTGTCCCCCAACACCAGTTTTACGGGTGGTGTGTCTGAAGTGGGTGATGAGAAAAGCCTGTGTCTGCACAGCTGTGCCCAGGGCAGCAGCCAGGCAGATTTAAGGTGTGGGCAGGTGGGACGGCCTGGGGCC